TTTTAAGAATTCTGTATTATATACTGTCTTATCATGATTGCATATTTATTTTTATTCATGGATGTTCTTAGGTGTACACGATGAAAATGACCGTGTTTATTGCCCTAAAATTGTACGGATTGGTCTCAAAGCACATCATTCTATCAAGGCTGTTTCCCTGGATGAACTTGTACGTGGAATATTAGACCAAATGTGTTTCAATTAGCTATGCTGCCACCATCATTATATAATCTTTCATATCACTATTGTAAACTTTTGTTATAATGCCATGATTATGCCTCAGCAGGTCTGGAGGGGAACTTAGTTATTAATTTAACGGTTTTATTAACATCATCTCTTGGGACTGACTGATTTGTGCATCTAAAAGTGGTAAGTTTTTATTGATAAAGAAAACATTTGTAGTTCAAAACTATAAAATGCAATGATTTTTTTCTTTTTGAATAAAAACTTACCACCACGTTTAGATGTTAATATTCAACCCTAAGGGGATGCTGACATTCTCCTGAAATGAATGAAGAGTCTTGATATAACGAGTGATATGAAGTTAGATGAAAAGGCTCCAAAATTTGTTCCTAACAAAACATTGATTCTTTAGAGTTAATTATGCTGGTGAATGTGTTACTAGAACCTGTGAAGTAGGTTATACTTCATTTCTTTTTAGATTACTTTAGCTTCTAATCATCCTTCCTATTAAACTATAGGAAAGATTGAGATTGAAGTGAAACTGTGTGTTTCTAATACAACATAGATATTTTATTTATATTGAGAAAAAAGAATCATTACAATAAATAAAAGAGACTTTACATCCTCTAATAATAAAGATATGATATCTGAATAAATAAAAAGGTTTCCAATAATATGTATATATAATCTATATATGTTTGATTATATAGGATTTGTTCCTTATTTCTATGATGATAACATTTCCCTTCAAGTTGGAGCATATAATCATATATGCTTAGCTTTTTGCAAATATACTTGGTCCTCTAAGCAACTTGTTAAATATGTTGACTAATTGTTCACTAGAATTGACAAACCTAATGGTGATGTCTTAAGACTCTAATTCTTCTCTTATGAGACAACAATTTGTCTCAATATGTTTGGTTCTATCGTGAAAGATAGGATTAGAGGCAATGTGTCTTGCTACCAAGTTGACACATATAAGGTGCATTTCAGAACTTTATTCTAATATAAGCTCACATGGGACTAATGTAATTGCCATGTAATATGCTTCTGCAGATTTTATCACAAAATTTTGTTTCTCACTTTTCCACATGTTAAATCATTTCACTAAGAACACAATACCCTGAATTGTCACTTGGTGACCCTGCCTAATTGGTGTCAGGATACCCAACAATTTGAGTATTTCAGATATCTTCAAAATGAGGGCTGGCCATGAGGCTTCTTAATATACTTTAGGATCCGTAGGATGACATCTTGATAGGACCTTTAGAGTTTATGTTAGGGAAAAAGAGATGAAAAAAAGGAACTTAGGGTGAGGGAGGTTGTTAGTTGGTTAGACGCTTGGTTGTTAGGTGAGAAGGGTTGGTTATATAGGGGGGAGGTGTGTCTTAGGGGGACAGTTTTGGGTTTATTGTTGTAGTGACAGGATTATTACATCCTGGGTGAAGAGATGATTGCTCCCTTGGTTGCTTACAAACATAAGTCTCTGTTACCAGAATAATAAAACAGTTTGGATCTTTGGTGTGTACTGCCTGTTGTGGGTGTGTTGAAGTGTGTATCTGTGTGAGTTCAGGGTTGTTGCTGCCAAGAATCCTATCACATCTCAATGGTCGTGATAAGGAGAGTTTAAAAATTGACTAACTAAGGTCATTGTAAAAGCAATACCTGGACGAGTCACAGTAGGTAATTTAGCATACCAACTAACCATTTGTACTGAGGATTAGAATATGGCTCTCCTTAGTTGGGTAAAGGTTTTATACCTAAATCCTTTGTTGTGTCCACAGCCGTAGCATTTCTAGAATGTCAAAAGTAAATTTTCTGACATATGACCAAACCATGCACATAGTGATTGCTTGAGACCACATAAGGACTTGTGTAGACACATACATATTAGACGACTTTTCCTAAATAACAAATCCAAGAGTATGCTCCATGTAGACTTCATCAAAATCACCATGTAGCATTTTTTATGTCAAGTTGTAACAGATTCCAAAGTGAATAACTGCAATGGAAAAGAGAAGTCTAATAGAACCTCCTCTTTTTCCATATTCTGGAACCTTGTTTGCATAATGCCATTTATGATTGATTGCCTAGATCTATGAAAAGCAGGTAGTTTGTCTTTGTGCACAAAAGGATCGATAATATGCTAAATTTAATATTGACAAACGTGCATTATTCTGTATGCTTTTGATCAATAGATATCCATGCAATGTATCTTGGCTCGACATTGAGAACTATGCCTAAGGTTTATTGGCACTTGAAGATGTTGAAGCTTCATCACTCGGCACTAGGACTGAAACTTTACATCATTTTTGGGCAAGGATCTCTGATCAATGAAATGATTTACCTTCATGTCCAGGCTTCATATATCTTATAATTGGGTCATCTAGTCATATGATGTTATTAACTGAAAACACGTTTGTATGTAGATTTCAAGCCCAAAACATGTGCATCTGTCGTGGCTTTATTTATGATGTGTACCAACCACTGATGATATGGTGATCATTTTATACACCTTTTTTGGAATGATGTTCTTAAAGAAAATAAATTTTGAGCATAATAGATATTTCTTGTATTTGGTTCACACCCTAGCAATTGCGACAGTATTTTAACTATTGAATTGGTAGTCTAAGCATTACTTACAGGATTGCTGTTTCTATTGCAATCTGTATTATTAACACACTTCAAATGTAATTGGGTTGAATTTAAAGGTTGAAACTTTTATATGCAGATGAAACAAAAACGTTCTAGTGCCAATAAATCATCCACCAATAAGCAGAGTACTGCAGGAAGTAATGATGACAGTATCCGAGCTGCAATTTTAGACGAGGCCACTATTGTATGTATTCCCACACTTTATGTTGAACGCATAAGCAAAAGCAATCTGATTTTCATAGTATTTTCTGTCTTCTTGGCAGGTCTTCTCAACTCTCAGCTTTAGTGGTTCCCATGTTTTCAGTAAACTAAATCGTGGATTTGATGTTGTGATTTTAGATGAAGCAGCACAGGCTGTAAGTGTCAAATCCTCTTAGTTGCTGAGACACTTTTAATATTGCTTATAATATAAACTAACTTGACAAAGTTTGATCTTAAGAAGTTGCTGGGGTACCTCAAAATATTCCAGCAACTAATTTTTATTTATTTTTAATTGTAGTATGAAGATGGAATAACCTTCATGAACCAATAATCCCTGGAACTTAAGCTATCATGGGAAGACATAAAAATGATTTTATGTTTTAAATCTTAGTATCTCTTACTTACCCACACCGGAGTCCTTTTGGCTTGAGGTGTGAGTAATGCACAGACCCAGCTGTATTGTGCTAGAGTATAACTTTTCATTAGAAAATAATAGGGGAGGAAAGGATTGAACTCTAGACCTTATGGTCATAGAGACTGATAATATCCCATGAACCAACTATCAGGAAAGCTTAAGCTGAGGTAAAAAATAGAAATAATTTTAGATTATATAGATAGAAATACCTTTAGATTATAATGAGTTTTCAAATATTTTTTGGCTGGAGTACAAATTTTTTTTTCCTCTTGGAGTAAATAAGCTACTGAGGACTAAGTCTAAAGTATATCTGAAATCCCTAAAAGTCTTTGTCACTTGAGCGGGCCTCTTTTTCTTTAGCGAAGCTTTTCAGTGGGACAGTGTTCTGAAGAATTTTCCTTGTTCTTGGGGTTCTACTTGTATCATAACTCATCCTCCAGCAAGCTAAAACATGCTCATTTTGGTGTAACACTTGGCTTATTTATTTTTATAAAAGAGCAAAACTAAAATGTATTTCGAGTACAAGGGATCCACCGAATCACAAAAGTAAATTTCAAAAAAATGGTAGTTTGACGAAGTTATCTAATAATTATAAAAGGGGTGGAGATTAAAGGTAGAATTAATACAATTACAAACCACAGTAGTTAAGCTAGTGGAAGATTACGATGGGACTAGGATAGTTGAAGACCTCTAAGGCAGGGGATTAATCACTATATAGGGATGACACTGAGTGTCAAAGGAGAGAGCTGCTGTGGTTGGGAATAGGTTGTTGATATTTGAGAATTCAAAAGTTGAGGATAAAAGATAGGATTCCTAGATAAGGCAGTGGTAGCATTTTGAATTTGGTTTCTGTTGGGTAGTGAAGAAAGGGATTTCCTTGAAAAATGCAACATTAAAGGAACTGAAGAATCAATTTGTAGGCGAGCAATAGGAACTTGGGTGTTATGGGCGCCTAAGTCCCACATCAAGCTGCAATATGGGATGCATGGGGAAGTATTCAAGTGNGCCATCTTTTGAAATCCTTATCTGTTATGTTCATTATTAGTCTCTTCTTGCTTTGTGTTATGCATGTTTGCTCTCTTGCCATGCCTACCTTCAAGTAGTTCATAAACAAATGTTGTGAATCAAGTAGAAGTGCAACAATAAGGGTAAAATTTGATTTTTGTATTATATCATAAAGAAAATAGCTGTAATTCAAGTTAATGCACTTTTCCTTGGTTTCTCTTTCACTTTAGATGGTTTAATTTTATATCAACATCGTAAGAAGCTGGGAAAATTGTTTAAAGCTTATGACAGTTTTTTGACTTTGGCTTATAGAAGTAAGTGATCTGGATGATTACTTATTTGATATTTGTGTTGTTGGAGTATGATAAGAGAGAAAGAACCTATTGGCTTAACTGTACTTTAGAATTCTCCAAGGTCCAAATAAAGTATTTTGATTAGAATATTCTTGAGGATGTTTTCAAGAAGTTATTTTAATTAAAGTACAATTCTAGATGATTGGAGTATTAGTCACATAAGTCAGTTTATTTAGCTGATTTTATGAATGCAGGTCCATAGCAGAGTACCCTTCCAAACTGATAAAGTTGATTTTAACCTCTATAGTATCTCTTGCATGTTGGCTCGCTCTTTTACCCTTTTTTGTAGAATTCAAGAATAATTTAGTTGGGTTAGATGATGTTCAACAAGAGCCTCGTAATATTTGGTTTCAAAGTACATATCTTGCAAAATTACCTTGGAATGGTGACCACTTCTGTCCCAAGGTCAATTAAAATAAACCGCAAATGGGTTTTATACTAGCATTGTTAGTGTTGAAATGTAATGTTATTTTATTATTTCTTTTATATATACATACCAAGCTTGTGTTGCCTCTTTTTGTAACCTTTATATATACATCAATCAAAAGCACAACAGTTTATGTTGAATACACTGATATTTCTCCATCTTATTTATTCAATTGTTAGCAGAATGCACTTTTCATATTCCATCATGCTAGAAGATTTTATTTTCTTTTCCCTTTTCCCATGACAGACAAAGACATTGGCGACTAGCTTCTCCATGGCTTAGTAGTATTAATCCTAGGGATAGTCTGATGCCAAAAGACGGTGATGATGGCTTTTACCCAACTACTGGAAATGAACTAGTAAGTACTCCTTTCATTGGTTAAAATTGTTGATCTTGCAAAATAACATCTCTAATGATGGGTTTTATCAGAAACCTGAAGCTGTAATTTCAAGTCGTAAGTACCATGGAAGAGTGTTAGTTTGCGCCCCATCAAACTCTGCCCTTGATGAGATTGTGTTGAGGGTTCTCAATGGAGGTATTAAGTTTCTTCAATGCATTTGTTTGGGAAAAAGAATTTTTCTTTTTGCATTCATTCCCTCGCCATGATTTTGACCCTCTTGGTTGTGTTTTTAATGGGGTGGGGGGGTTAAGATTTCAACTAGGACACATTGACTAGCGAGGTGTCATTGCTATCTTGGTTGTGTGGCCAGTCTTTTATTTTAAGAATTCTGTATTCTATATTATCATGATTGCATATTTATTTTTATTCATGGATGTTCTTAGGTGTACATGATGAAAATGACCGTGTTTATTGCCCTAAAATTGTACGGATTGGTCTCAAAGCACATCATTCTGTCAAGGCTGTTTCCCTGGATGAACTTGTACGTGGAATATTAGACCAAATGTGTTTCAATTAGCTATGCTGCCACCATCATTATATAATCTTTCATATCACTATTGTAAACTTTTGTTATAATGCCATGATTATGCCTCAGCAGGTCTGGAGGGGAACTTAGTTATTAATTTAACGGTTTTATTAACATCATTGCTTGGGACTGACTGATTTGTGCATCTAAAAGTGGTAATGTTAGACCGTTATTAGTCTATGAGAGAAGAAAGAAACATAGTTAGAAGGTCTAACTGTTTGGGCAGTTAGGGGGAGCGGGGAAAAGCTTTTGAACTTGTATAAATAGTTGTGATTAGTTGGGGGAGGGATCTTTTTTGGCCTTATTGAATTGTTGATCAGGACTCATTGTCCTGAGGGGGAGAGGTTAAGCTCTCTGTATTCTTTCTGTTGATTGAAAGTGAATAAAAGAAGCATTTCTTTGTCGGAGTGTGTGTTTGAAGAGTAAGGAGTGAGTTTTTCCTAGGTTCTTGGATAAAGAACCTAACAGGTAAGTTTTTATTGATGAAGAAAACATTTGTAGTTCAAAACTATAAAATGCAATGATTTTTTTCTTTTTCAATAAAAACTTACCACCACTTAATATTCAACCCTAAGGGGATGCTAACATTCTCCTGAAATGAATGAAGAGTCTTGATATAATGAGTGATATGAAGTTAGATGAAGAGGCTCCAAAATGTGTTCCTATCAAAACAATGATTCTATAAAGTTAATTATGCTGGTGAATGTGTTACTAGAACCTGTGAAGTAGGTTATACTTGGCTTCTTTTTAGATTACTTTAGCTTCTAATCATCCTTCCTATTAAACTATAGGAAAGATTGAGATTGAAGTGAAACTGTGTGTTTCTAATACAACCTAGATATTTTATTTATATTGAGAAAAAAGAATCATTACAATAAATAAAAGATTTTACATCCTCTAATAATAAAGATATGATATCTGAATAAATAAAAAGGTTTCCAATAATATGTATATATATAATCTATATATGTTTGATTATATAGGATTTGTGCCTTATTTCTATAATGATAACATTCCCCTCCAAGTTGGAGCATATAATCATATATGCTTAGCTTTTTGCAAATATACTTGGCCTCTAAGAAACTTGGTAAATATGTTGACTAATTGTTCACTAGAATTGACAAACCTAATGGTGATGTCTTAAGACTCTAATTCTTCTCTTATGAGACGACAATTTGTCTCAATATGTTTGTTCTATTGTGAAAGATAGTATTAGAGGCAATGTGTCTTGCTACCAAGTCTACACATATAAGGTGCATTTCAGAACTTTATTCTAATATAAGCTCACAAGGGACTAATGTCATTGACATGTAATGTGCTTCTGCAGATTTATCAAAAAAATTTTGTTTCTCACTTTTCCACATGTTAAATCATTTCAATAAGAACACAATACCCTGAATTGTCACTTGGTGACCCTGCCTAATTGGTGTCAGGATACCCAACAATTTGAGTATTTCATATATCTTCAAAATGAGGGCTTGCCACGAGGCTTCTTAATATACTTTAGGATCCGTATGATCACATCTTGATAGGACCTTTACAGTTTATGTTAGGAAAAAAGAGATAAAAAACAGGACATAGGGTGAGGGAGGTTGTTAGTTGGTTAGACGGTTGGTTGTTAGGTGAGAAGGGTTGGTTATATAGGGGGGAGGTGTGTCTTAGGGGGACAGTTTTGGGTTTATTGTTGTAGTGACAGGATTATTACATCCTGGGTGAAGAGATGATTGCTCCCTTGGTTGCTTACGAACATAAGTCTTTGTTACCAGAATAATAAAACAGTTTGGTTCTTTGGTTTGTACTACGTGTTGTGGGTTTGTTGAAGTGTGTATCTGTGTGGGTTCAGGGTTGTTGCTGCCAAGAATCCTATCACATCTCAATTGTCTTGACAAGGAGAGTTTAAAATTTGACTTACTAAGATCATTGTAAAAGCAATACCTGGAGAAGTCACAGTAGGTAATTTAGCATACCAACTGACCATTTGTACTGAGGATCAGAATATGGCTCTCCTTAGTTGGGTACAGGTTTGATACCTAAATCCTTTGTTGTGTCCACAGGCGTAACATTTCTAGATTGTCGAAAGTAAATTTTCTGACATATGACCAAACCATGCGCATAGTGATTGCTTGAAACCACATAAGGACTTGTGTAGACACATACATATTAGATGACTTTTCCTAAGCAACAAATCCAAGAGTATGCCCCATGTAGACTTCAAAATCACCATGTGACATTTTTTATGTCAAGTTGTAACAGAGTCCAAAGTGAATAACTGCAATGGAAAAGAGAAGTCTAATAGAACCTCCTCCTCTTTTTCCATATTCTGGAACCTTGTTTGCATAATGCCATTTATGATTTGATGGCCTAGATCTCTGAAAAGCAGGTAGTTTGTCTTTGTGCACAAAAGGATCGATAATATGCTAAATTTAATATTGACAAACGTGCATTATTCTTAATGCTTTTGATCAATAGATATCCATGCAATGTATGGTTGCTCGACATTGAGAACTATGCCTAAGGTTTATTGGCACTTGAAGATAATGAAGCTTCATCACTCTGCACTAGGACTGAAACTTTACATCATTTGTGGGGAAGGATCTCTGATCAATGAAATGATTTACCTTCATGTTCAGGCTTCATATATCTTATAATTGGGTCATCTAGTCATATGATGTTATTAACTGAAAACACGTTTGTATCTAGATTTCAAGCCCAAAACATGTTCATCTGTCGTGGCTTTATTTATGATGTGTACCAACCACTGACGATATGGTGATCATTTTATACACCTTTTTTGGAATGATGTTCTTAAAGAAAATAAATTTTGAGCATAATAGATATTTATTGTATTTGGTTCACACCCTGGCAATTGCGACAGTATTTTAACTATTGAAGTGGTAGTCTAAGCATTACTTACAGGATTGCTGTTTCTATTACAAAAAAATCTGTATTATTAACACACTTCAAATGTAATTGGGTTGAATTTAAAGGTTGAAACTTTTATATGCAGATGAAACAAAAACGTTCTAGTGCCAATAAATCATCCACCAATAAGCAGAGTACTGCAGGATGTAATGATGACAGTATCCGAGCTGCAATTTTAGACGATGCCACTATTGTATGTATTCCCACACTTTATGTTGAATGCATAAGCAAAAGCAATCTGATTTTCATAGTATTTTCTGTCTTCTTGGCAGGTCTTCTCAACTCTCAGCTTTAGTGGTTCCCATGTTTTCAGTAAACTAAATCGTGGATTTGATGTTGTGATTATAGATGAAGCAGCACAGGCTGTAAGTGTCAAATCCTCTTAGTTGCTGAGTCACTTTTAATATTGCTTATAATATAAACTAACTTGACAAAGTTTGATCTTAAGTTGCTGGGGTACCTCAAAATATTCCAGCAACTAATTTTTATTTATTTTTAATTGTAGTATGAAGATGGAATAACCTTCATGAACCAATAATCCCTGTAACTTAAGCTATCATGTGAAGACATAAAAATGATTTTATGTTTTAAATCTTAGTATCTCTTACTTTCCCACACCGGAGTCCTTTTGGCTTGAGTTGTGATTAATGCATAGACCCAGCTGTTTTGTGCTAGAGTATAACTTTTCATTAGAAAATAATAGGGGAGGAAAGGATTGAACTCTAGACCTTATGGTCATAGAGACTGATAATATCCCATGAACCAACTATCAGGAAAGCTTAAGCTGAGGTAAAAAATAGAAATAATTTTAGATTATAAAGTTAGAAATACTTTTAGATTATAATGAGTTTTCAAATATTTTGGGGCTGGAATACAATTTTTTTTTCCTCTTGGAGTAAATAAGCTACTGAGGACTAAGTCTAAAGTCTGAAATCCCGAAAAGTCTTTGTCACTTGAGAGGGCCTCTTTTTCTTTAGTGAAGTTTTTCAATGGGACAGTGTTCTGAAGAATTTTCCTTGTTCTTGGGGTTCTACTTGTATCATAACTCATCCTCCAGCAAGCTAAAACATGCTCATTTTGGTGTAACACTTGGCTTATTTATTTTTATAAAAGAGTAAAATTAAAATGTATTTCGAGTACAAGGGATCCACCGAATCACAAAAGTAAATTTCAAAAAAATGGTAGTTTGACGAAGTTATCTAATAATTATAAAAGGGGTGGAGATTAAAGGTAGAATTAATACAATTACAAACCACAGTAGGTAAGCTAGTGGAAGATTAAGATGGGACTAGAATAGTTGAAGACCACTTAGGCAGGGGATTGATTGATCACTGTATAAGGATGACACTGATAAGAAATGAGTGTCAAAGGAGAGAGCTTCTGTGGTTGGGAATAGGTTGTTGATATTTGAGAATTCAAAAGTTGAGGATAAAAGATAGGATTTCTTAGATAAGGCAGTGGTAGCATTTTGAATTTGGTTTCTGTTGGGTAGTGAAGAAAGGCATTTCCTTGAAAAATGCAACATTAAAGGAACTGAAGAATCAATTTGTAGGCGAGCAATAGGAACTTGGGTGTTATGGGCGCCTAAGTCCCACATCAAGCTGCAATATGGGATGCATGGTGAAGTATTCAAGTGTTTGCTTTTGCCCATTTGATGGCTGACTTTTGAGAGTTGAGTTACTCAAATTCTTAGGTACTTGTCAATTGGCATCAGACCTAGTTCTTGGTGTCTCAAAAAGGGTTACCTACACAAAATTCTGACTACTAGGAGCCCTGACCTATACAGGAGTTGAATGAAGTGTCACTGAGTTAAGTGTCATACAGATAAAGTCATCAAGATGTCAACTCTCAGGAATGGCGCTTTGTAGGAACGTGGGTAGTATATGGTGCCTATGTCTCACATTGAGCAGTACGACTTGGTGGAGTATTTAACTGTTTGGTTCTTTTGAAAGTAGGTTTCCCAAGTACTTGGATACTTGTCATGGAGTAAATGTGGTCTCCCAAGTCAAGAACACCCAAGAAGAGAATTCGATGAGCAAGATAAATTTATCTTGGAGAAATATCATACATGAAACAAGTAGAACCAAATGCACAAGGAGGAACTTCGTAACAAGATTCTTTAGGAACCGTATTTATTTACTAAACTAGACTAATAACTTTAATCTTTTTTCCTAAGTTGCAATGAAATGGGCAATCTTGGAAAGTTGAAAAGGTTTATTATTATGTAGTTTCAGGCTGTATAACTTATTTTTGTAATGAGCAGATCTAAAACGTTGTTGCTTATTTTATTTCAACTCTTTATGACAGGTGGAGCCTGCAACTCTTGTTCCTTTAGCCAATCAATGCAAAAAAGTTTTTCTGGTACTTTACATCGCTTATCCTTGCATTACAGGAACGTACATGATTTTACTTTTTACTTATCGTAATATATGTGTGAACAATATTCTATATCATGTATAAAATATAAATTGAGGAAAAAAATGCATTTTGACAGCATGTGCGAAGAAAGAAAATCCATTATTCATATTAACTCTTAATCAAAACAATGTGAAATGGTATACAGCAATGGGATTGATAATTCTTGTCTATTAATTATTAATGGTTAGACAAAGGCCTGGACAGTGGAAATATTTTATACAATTGTTGAACCCTTTTAAAAGCTTGTTGGGTTACAGACTTTTTAAGTAATTTTGACTAGTGTTGTCCTTATTGAGGCTACATTTTGTTGTAACATTTTTAAAGGTTGGTGATCCAGCTCAACTTCCAGCAACTGTAATTTCGGACATTGCTAAGAATCACGGGTAAACAATTAGTTTTGTGGTGATTTTGATTTTAATACATTAAACCATTCTTTTTTCTAACACATGAGTTTTTGGCTTTATTGTTTCATGAATTAAGATATGGCACAAGCTTATTTAAAAGATTGATGGAGGCTGGCTATCCAGTTAAAATGTTGAAGACCCAATATCGAATGCATCCTGAGGTTGGTGCATACTGTTAACATGTTCTATATTAGCTAAGAATATGGCTAAAATACTGCTCGTAAGGTGTGGTCAATCTTTCCCCCTTTGAATTA